GAATACACAAGATTTTCAGAATTTTCTGCCATGCATGCATGATTTTATATTTGCCATGCATGAGTCGGTATTTCAGTGTTTTAAGAAAGAGCCCTAAAAAATGGCAATCCAACAAAACAATTAAACTCAACGAGTAAATGTATAAAGCACGAAAAATAACAAGTTGTCCGGTACAGTATATCCCTCATGAGATTTGGCACACACAATAATGCACAATGCAATATAAATAGTCTTTTTTTTTTTGTTATCAATAAGGTGTGTACAGTCAAGTTACAGTATCAACCAATCCAGGTGAAAGCCTGGGAAGCTTACAAACAGGTGGGAGGTACACGGTATATAAATGACTCGTTAGCTGCAAAGTATGGTAACAAAAAACACTCAGGCAACATCAAGAATTGTTAAGTGAAAAAAATATCACTCTCGTTTGCTCACAGTTTTCTCAACATACAAAAAAAAACACTCCCTCAGGCCTTAAGTCACTGCAAAAGACATGTTCCCAAGGATCAATAATAAATAAAGTCTTCAACACGAAACAAACCAGTTTACCAATTCCCACTTTGTGCAAGAAAATATGGGCTACCCTTTCCATATTTACAAACTGCTATTCATTTGCCCTCGCTCAAAATGAAGAGCAGAACAAATGGTACCACAGGTTTGATTGATAAGATATAGGAGAATTGTGTGCTTTAGGTTTTATATTAGATTTTTTTTTGTATCCTGTCCCTGATTTCTGCATTTCGACAGCATTGCCTCCTGCCTTAACCCCCCCACCACTGCACCCCTTGCCCTCCCCCTTCCCCATTGCCTTCCCCTGCGTTTGTATTTATGGCAAAACCCTGTAGTTGAGGGTGTGTGTGTGTGTGTTAGTGTAAGTGTGTGTTGGGAGTGAGGGGGGAGGGTCCACTTGGGGGTCTCCTTTGCTGCCATCTCCCACCCCTGCCAGCATGTGTCATCCGGACAGCCATGACTGACTGGGAGAGGAGGGTGTGGAAGTGCTGCTTGCTGCCACATGAGAGAAAGTGCTTATATACAGTGTCTTTGGATTAAAACTGGTAAATATCGCCATAAAAAATTTAAAGAGTGTCTTTTGAGGGGGGTGGTGTGCTGACCACTCTAAGCCTCTGCCGGGGTCTTCTCTGTTCCATTTTTCTGCGCTTCGTCGTCGCCATTCTCATCCTCAATCACAACTGTGGATGACAGGGGAGAGAGTTAATGAGGGGAGGGGAAGGGGGGGGGAACTCATCTTGGTGTGGCGTCTTGAAAATTCAACATCGACACAAGGGTGTCAAAGCCCTGAATCGTTAGTGCTGCAACTGTATGAGCATAAGCGATTTGTGCATGCATGAGAGCGTAAGCCCATGCAAAAAGAGCGCGATAACCACGAATCTGCATCGGCGCCTCTGATGCATATTTGGGAATGTGCAGGTGTGACTGTGTACGAGTGTCGGCTGTGCACCCACAGGTGCAAGTCTTATGTGTCTTTGTGTTTGCCCATGTCTCTGTGCACTACTGTATATAGAACTATGTCTGTCTAAATGTCTGTGCCACCACAACTGAGCCTCAGTTTTCAAGGACTATCTACCTTGGTAGATATGCAGGAATGCAGGACACACAAAAGCACATACATGGCCAGCCTGACTTGATCATGCAAACACAAAAATCTCCATCACACTGCATAGAAAATTCGTTCAGCCATTCATCTGGGAGGGGACAATCAGCACAACTCTGTTGAGCAAGATTCAGGAGGCATTTAGCGGCACGCACTGCGCATCCAACTTGTGTAGCAATGCGAACAGAATAATTAAAAAAAAAAAAACAATACACACGCATGCAAACAGCAGACTGGTTCGCTGACCATACACTCGACTGAACATCTCGTCAAGGCAATAGTGTTGCCGATCTGGTTTCTCAGGCAAACATCCTTAAATATGGTGCACTAACAGCCGATGTGCGCATTCACCACATCACCATACAGGCGAAAACGCCTTAATTATATAATTACCCCGTTTGCTCCTGCCTATTTGCCCGAGTTTCGGCGGACGTTTGTTCTGTGAGCCGTTGAAGAAGTTGTTGGTGTCTTGAAGACGACAGGTGAAGGAAAGGTGTCCCTCGTCGCCCTCATTTCCATAATGACTCATATTTTCTTCGTTGAAAGGCAACACTTCCGACATCTCCAAATGCGTCTTTATCACCAAGGCGCACAAACTGAAATGTATAGCTCGTCGCCAAGCTTGAACCGGCTCCTTCGTAAAAAAAACAAAAGGGGAAAATAAACAATGAAATCTGCTGGCACGACCTAGCCCTTTCTGCGTGCCCAGAAGACACGTGTCTGTCTCCGTAGGTGCGCGACAGAAATATCAGTAACTCAAAATGTCCTCAGTTTCCCTGCTCGTGGAGGCTCGGCAACATTATTCAAAGAAAAAAGAAAATGGGGGGAGAAAAAATCCACGGGCTTTCTCTCTGTGCGTATTGCTTTGGAAATGGAGGCGCGCGTATAACCGAGCCGTGAAGCGCCCGCTGGTTTTGAGCGGCTGAACCCGTCGCACGGAAAATCTGAGGAAGAAATGCAAATTGAGGAGCGATGCAAAACACGGATCCCGGGGACACCTGGCGAGGGAGCTGTTCGGGGGTTTTCTGGTGCAGCCCAGAGAAGCCAAGTCCAGTTGGAGTGGTGGAGTAGTACTGCCAATGCTCCTCTCTCCTCGAATGTGGACGCAATAAAAACAAATGGCGATTTGAAATTCGAAGGTGGCACGTAAATGGGAATCGATTCATATCTTTATGTGTGGAGGGGGGGAAGCAATTCCGATTGCGCCACCAGTTGACGAGCACGAAATATTAAAAACTCGAGCCTCTTTTATTAATTTTCAGATTTTTATTATTAGGGTTCGTGGGGTTTACGAGACCATCAAACCTCACCAGATGATGGCAGTCTTTTCACAGGCTGGGATGTGACTTTTGGCCCCGTGGCGCACTTTAAGTTCCCAGCTGAGGCCCTGGTGCTGTTTTCACGTTATCGCCCACAGTATCTCGGGAAACTGCACATCAGCATTTTGGAGTGAAAAGCACGAAGGTTAGCATAAAAAAGCAGTGACTGTGTTTGTTTAAAATATAATCCATGTTACAGAAACGATGGCTAAATATCAAGTAGACCCCCCAGAAAGAAAACAGTATGTATGAATTTTTTTCTTCATAACATAATTATTCCAAATACATATGCTGTAATAGTATAATAGGATCCACACTGAGAACATTTCGCCTCATGTTAGCAGAGAAAGCCTGAAAAGGTGTTTGGTTAAACTGATTCCTCTGGAACTTCTTTTACCACCCACTGCTGTCTACTGTTTGCATTAATCTCACTTCTATAGGTATGACAGTACAATGGACTGTCTTACAAAACAGACAGGGCATGGAGGAACGGACAGGTATTCAGTCTTGAGATAGACTATCCTTTCTCAGAGGAACTTCCCTAAATATCATTACACAGACAATGAAATGAAAAATGATATTGGAGCCTGCAGCAGAGCTAACTTTTATGTGCCGTCATGACACACCTCCTCCCTTCGAAGCTGAGGTTACAATGATTTTATCAGAGGATCCTTCTTTCATATGAGAACATCTCAAAGAACAATATTTTTCACAAAATGTGGTTACATCGCCATCAAGACTGTTTTTTGGTCTTAAAGCTCCCAAGCAATGAAGACAAGTAACCTGATAAAATAGTAGCAGTAAACCCTTGAGAGTGTTGGATTGGGAAAGAGTGCATTTTCTTCTTGCAAATTCTATTTTTTTGTCTGCTAAATCAAGTATTTGTCATGTTTTCTTTCCTAAAGCTTCAGTGCAGCTGCTGAATAAGGTTTGATGCTAACATTATACTGAACTTGGCTCAAGTATGTCTTCATGGAATTAGAGCTTTATGACTAGTTAAATTAGATTTTCAAAAACAAAAAGAAAGAATAAACACTGCAGTAGTTAAAACTCAGATGAACTTCTCTTTCAGGCCTGTTTGGGTGTGGTTTGTTCAAATAAATGACTCCATATATTGTCATCAGATACTGACTCAAATGCTGCCTCAAATCCTTCATTGTTTTTGCTATCTTGCATTTATCAGAGTCACAGTGAGACAGGAAGGCAGGAGGGAAGATTGAGGGAGATGCCACGCAGCAAGGTGTAGAACCAAAGGGTGCTACACGTGGCTCTGAAGTGCGAGCTGTGGGGGAAGGATTTCAAAGTACAGACAGGCACGTGCCTGCTTTTAAACAGAAATGAAATAACAACTTGTTACAATCAAGGTACGCAGAAGAGCATTTCTGAATGCGCAACATATTACAGCGTAGCTGTATCAGTGATTCAGGCTACTGATGGTGATGTAATGGTGTGGGGGATATTTTCTTCGCACAGTTTAAGCCCCTTTTGTACCAGCTGAGCATGATTAAACACCACGGCCTACCTGATTATTGTTGCAGACCACATCCATCCCTTTATGATCACAATGTACTCATCTTCTGATAACTTGTTAAGGCAGAATAACTGGACATGTCACAAAACTCAGATGATCTCACTGTGGTTTCTTGAACGTGATAATGAGTTCTGCGTGGTCAGATGGCCTCCACAGTCACCAGAACTCAGTCCAGTAGAGCACCTTTAAGATGTGCCACGAAAAAATGGGGTCCAAGCAAGTTTTAGCATTTAATGAATTACTAGTTGAGTGTATACCACACGAGAAACTGATTAAAAATAAGTGTTTGTGTTTTTGGTTTTTTTTTAGAAAGTACATGATCAGATCTTTCTATTTATCTTTTTTGTACAAAAGTCAAACTATGACCAAAACTGATTTTTGTCATTCAGCATTCAGACCTGACACAACTCCACACCAGCCCCAGAGTGTTTTATTGGCATCAAAAAACTTTCACAAATCTGTGAGCTCTATTACATTTACAGTAACTGTAAACGGTGCACATTCTAGTGAATCCTATAATCATAGTAATTATTTCAGAATATCCAGCGTTTAACTATATTCAAAAGGTGATCTGAATTATCACTGCAATGTTTTTCTCAACAGCCACTGCAGCTTCCAACAGAACCACTTCCTATCCATGCTAACTTAAATGTGTTTATGGGAATATTTCCTTTCAGGCACAAATGGCTCCTTTCATTATCTCCACGGTTTGAAGCAACGCAGGTATGACCCGTAGATGGTTTGATCTATCCACCGGCGGAATCTGGACACGGCCGTGTAGACTCCAGGAAACTTAGCATCACCACAACCATTGCCCCAGGATACAACTCCATAGATCCGTCTGTCACACACCAGCGGTCCACCGGAGTCGCCCTGTAATAAATAACAATAAAACCCTTCTATTAGTTCCCATTTCACAATGTGACTCCTGGAAAAGTTTTTTGTTACCATAGTATTGATGTAAAGCTTCTTTAATTTCCCTGATGTTACATGATACACAAAGTAATACAAAGTGTCTGAACATGGGCGCCTCATAGGAGACCGTTTCAAAAAGCATTTACCGCCCAGGTGGGTCAGATATCCCAGGCATTGAAGGTTACTTGCTGTTGGTCTATTTTAGCTCAAAGAACAACATCAACTGATTCCCAAAATGCATAAATGTGAAAACTTTCTTATAAAAAAAAAAAACAAGCAACAAAAACCTGAAATCGTGTAAAATGTGGCTATTGCTGTAAAAGGGACATGAAACAATACAGATATAACAGCTCATTTGCACCACTGAGCCCTGCTCCCTAAAACTAAAATAGCTGCAACACTGTCTGTGAAGCTGGATTTAAGAAATAAGTGCTTAAAGTGAAACTTTTAAAAACATGTTTAGTGCATCTTCTGTCAGTACGCGACGTCATGTGCTTGGTTGGTTGCGGCTAAAAGACTTACTTTAGTTTATGTTAGTTAACTAGCAACAGAATCAATAACCGACAGGAAAATAACAACACTAAAACTAAAAATCAGTTTAAGGGGTTCACTTTTGTGCTGCCCCTGGCTGCAACAATGAGTTTTATGTGAAGAAACCGAGGATACACTGTCTACTTTCACTCTGTCTCTTTAGCTGTGGTTGTTTGCTGTTTGGCTAGCTGCACTCAAATGGGAAAATCCACCTGTTAGCCGTAATGTTGAGGTTTGTAGAGCACTTTATAAATAAGAACAGCGAGGAGGAGTGTGAAGTCCAGAAATAAATAATGAGAAAACATGTTTTTATCTTGTGACTTTGGCCTATTGTTTCTTGGCTAATAACCAGGGGTGCACATAAGTGGTCCGCAGGTGCGGAAAATAAAATAAAAGGCGCGCACCAGATAAGAAGTTGCAACGCGCGTTTGCGTACATATAAAAGGCACTGTTTTTTGTCAGCTAGAGATGCACCACATCTCTGTGCGTTCATCATTTGTTTGAAGCAGGGTCGCCTCCTGCAACCACTTTTCCGAGAATACGCACTTCTTTTGTGGTTCGGACTCCTTCTGACATTTCTTTGGAGGTGGAGGAGCACCAAAGTAATTGCTTAAAGGAGCTTGCTTCTTCGACATCTTTAAGAGTTCTAAACAAATGTCTGTCCTCCTCCAGAAAATCTTATGTACGCAAACGCGCGTTGCTACTTTTTATCTGGTGCGCGTCTTTTATTTTGACAGCGAATGCGCACCTGCGGACTACTTATGTGCACCCCTGCTAATAACCCACATGATGTTATTCAGTTGTAGCTCCTGTAAAATTAAGTATAAGAAGGTGAAATTGTTGCCCTTCTTACAGTAAAAATTAGTTTACATGTTCCAATATTTAAATGTGCAGCATTGTGCAATAGTCTTGAGCCACCCATTGCATTTTCATGTTTTTCTTTCAAACATTTTTTCCAAGTTTTTGTTTGGGCATTGGCTGCTTTTTCACTCATTTGGGATGTGTCATTGGTTTTGGTCCCTGGGTTTTCAGTGTTTGTGAGTTCATATTTCCTTTGGATTGTGAGAATGTTTTATGTTTAGGTTTCATGTCTCCTTGGTGAATTCTTCGTTTTTTTAATTACCTTTCCTGCACCCTGTTTGGATTTTGCTTCTTTATTGGAAGAAGTCCTGCATTTAGGCTACCCTCTGGGCTGAGTTTCTGTATTCCTTGTTTAGCCAGTATTCAGTTTCCAGTCTATTCAGTTGTCGTGTTATTTTCAAGTTGTGTTTAGCTCATGTTTTGTATAGACGCTTATGGTGTATAGCCGTGTTATTTGGGTCTGATCTATTCTTTTTTCCACTGATTGTCGAGCCTTCAGTTCTTGTTAGTTTCAGTTTCTGCTGACGTTCCGATTTGCTTTGAGTTAGTTTCTCTTTGTGTTTTTTTGTGTTCCAGTCTCATCTGCTTTTGACCTTTTTCTGTGCTCCCCCGTGTTAAGTTAACCATTGTTTCCCATTCAGATGTGTCTTTCTGTTTTATTTTGGTAACTGTTCTTCTCTTTGTCTGGCGTTGTGTTCACTTCCCCCACCTCATTATTCCTATAGCTTCCAGCTGTGCGTCCTACTTGTTGTGTATCTGCTTATTATCCTGTGTGTGTATATATTGTCTCTACCTCATTTCCTTGCCCCCCTCATCCCTATGAGTGTGTTAATGCCAGACCTGTTTTACAGAGAATCTTTTATTACTGAATGATTCAGTTCATGTTTGTGCCACAGTTTCATGAGAGAACATTTTTTTTCTATGAATCATACAAGCTTTAAAGGGGCACCTAAGTCAAGATGTGAATAAGGGTTGTTTCTAACAGACAACTTAGCAAACAACCAATTTATCCTTAGCCAGATAAATTGGTTTTATCTGGCTAAAATGTAAACTTTTTGCAAGAGCTTAATCAGAAAAGGTTTCTGTGGAAGGGTGGCTGTCAAAAAGCCATTTTTAAGGTAAGGGAAGAGGGAGAAAAGACTGAGGAATGCCAGATTATACAAGAACTGGACTGAAAATCAGTGGTGACAGGCCTTATGGGCGATGAATCCAAATTTTGTCTACAGCTATCTTGGCGTCAACATGGTGGAAGCATTGCAGCCAGTGATCTTGTCAAAAGTGATGGAATTATGAACACAGACGTATCATGGGATACCATGTAGACAGCATCTGAATGGCAACAACTGTGTTTTTCAGGATGACAATGATCTCAAACAGCAAAACCATATCTGGATAGAAAAACACCTGAACACCGTCAGTCATTGCATCAGCCTCCCCAGAGCCTGGACCTCAACATTACTGAAGCAGTGTGGGATCATCTCGATAGAGACAAAGGCAGCCAACATCCAACAGGTGCTGTGTTTCAGTAATTCACTGCACCTGTTTCCCATTTTTTTTTAGCAAAATATAAAGAAATAATGGACGGCTTAAGACTTTTGCATAGTACCATATCTCATGTATAATGCACTGCATGTGTGAAATACTCACATGTGGCTTTTAGGATGTAGTGGTGAAGACAAATTCCAACTGGCCAACAAGGTATGGATTTAAACTTGACTGAGTACAGCTGGTCTGCTTTTCCTTTAGAAAAGTTCTTTCTGTTTTTTGTTTTAATACTTATCTTTGAATCATATTATTAAAAATCATTATTATTGCTTGAAAAAAAAACCAACACACAAGGACTTTGTCAAACACACAGGTTTTACATAGAGTTTATTTTAAACTAGTCATTCTCTACTTTGCCGAAGGTGAGACATAGCTTACTCACATACCACACGCTGAATTTCGTGTAAATTATTCTTTCACACCAACGACCGGGCTGAAACTCTTTCACGGTGCAAATAACCAAATCATAGGTTATTTTTGCTGCTATGTAAGCGTTTACAGCAAAACTCCAGGTTTTCAGTCGTGTTGCTACTTTAAGGGTTGCTTTTCTATCTCTTATGCGATTATTACAACTGCAGTAATGTTTCAGGACAAACAGGCATGTCTCCTTAATAAAAGCTTGTAGCTCGAACCAACACTGACATGATCAACTGTATCCTTACACTGTCGGGGGAAAGAGGTTTCCAGAACTGTGTTATTGTTTTGCTCTTAAGTGAGATGATAAAAGTAGGCTCAGCTTGTGCTGTGTGATCACCATGGATGGTACCTCTGAGAGTCTATTACTTCAAAATGAGTTTCTTGCCTTTTCAAAACATCAAATGAACATGCTTGGCACAGAGGGCCGCGGCGGTGTCCAACACTCACTTAGCTTGCAGCTGAAACTTTTAAAAACATGTTTTTTTTTTCCTGATTAGTGAAAGGTGGTGTCTTTGTTCTTTGTACCTTGCATGCATCTTTGCCTCCAGTGCTGTAGCCAGCGCAGATCATGTTTGCTGTGATGTTTCCATTAAAGGAGTCGCTGCTGTTACACCTTGCAGTTGAGACAATGGGCACTGTGACTGTCCTGAGTGTGACAGGCACCTGGCCTCCTTCCAGACTATTGTAGCCCCACCCAGACACCCGACACACGTGGCCTTCAGCTACACCTGTCCCCTGCCTGGGAAGAGGCGCCAGCGACACGTATTTGTTCAGAACCATGGGAGCCCGCAGCTGGACAGAAAATTGTACAGTTTCCACGTGAACATGTTTTTCTTTTAAAAAAAGAAAGATGTAACAGATTAAACTTTAACAAACCACTGGTAACTTTTCTGCACCGATTCTGTGGCACCTTAATGAGCATGATGTCTGCGTTGTTGGTGCTCCTGTTGTACAGGGGATGGATGACCAAGATGCGGGGCTTAGCGTACTGCTCAGTACCCTCAAAGATGTTTACCTTGTAGTCGCCTGCCACTATCATCATTTGCTCTGCCCTAAAACACAGAAATCCATGTTGCATCACATTTGTTAACAGAGCACTAAAAAGATGTAATCGTGTAATCGTGATCTCTTTGAAAGAGGAAACAAAAGAAGCCTTTTCCCACAAATAATATAAGCTTAATTAACTATTTTTTTGTATTTTACTAAATGAATGAAAGACAAAGATAAAGTAAAACGACCTGAATACAAAGTCAAACTCGAAGTGTGCACAGGGCTTGATCGTGACCACCATGAACTGCTTGTCTGCCAGTGAACAATGGCTTACTGTGAGCAGGCGGGGATGGGGACAGTGTGACAGAAATATGGCCAATTTCCTACATCCAGACAAGATCACACTTCACCGTCTTTCTCAGTGATGCGCCAAGGTCAGCTGACTAAATCGCATCTGTGTGCTGTTTGACTTCCCACTGGCCCCCATAGAGGTTGAGTTTGTGTCCTGACGTTACCTACCCACAGCAGAATGAATGTTTGTGTTTAGGCATCTGTTGGGACCATCTGCTCGCAATAGAAAATCATGCCAAGTTAACTCTGAACCACAGTGTACTGAAAAAATGCCAGAGAAATGTTCCCGTCTGTGAAAGTGTTTCAGATTTATGGTGGAAGTGTACATATCCTCATCCTTGATTTGTGGCTGACAATCCATTCTTTTGATCAGCTACATCTGAGTTCACAAAAATGAAGGCTGTAGAGTATAGCCAGCCCACATTTGGAAATGATGCACACAACCTGCAGTGCCTAGTGGACATTCCAGGTTACGTAGATAACCCTCTGATGTATTTACCACCTTCGGTCAAGCAAACTGCACCCTTGGCTCCCATAACCTCTGAGCTTAAAGTTAACATACTTAGTTGCTGCTTACTTACTTCACTTGTTCTTGCTACAAGTTGCTGAATTTCTTGTACCTTTTGCAGTCCCTTGTTTGCTACGATGCTGTTACTCTCTTACTGTGTGGATGCCCATAAATATTACATCTATGGCCATGCTGGTGGCTCTCTGAGGCTCTCTTCTCTCACAGCGAGAAGGTCCTGCATTCAAAATCCAAGCTGTGGCATTTCTGTGTGGAGTTCAGGTTACTGTGGCTTCCTCCAACAGTCTAAGACATCCATGGGCTTAAGTTAAATGGTGTTAAACTGGCTTTAGGTGTGAATGTGAGCCTGAATGGTTGTTTGTCTCTATGTGTTAGCTCAGGAAGATTGGCAACCTGCCTCTCATCCACCCCCCTTCGACCCTTAAGTAGATAAGTGGAAGAAAATCGATGCATGTTTACTATGACGTACTAAGATTCCCTTGTTACCATAGCACTATACCTCTTTGAAACGTCCAGCCACCAACTCTTATGAAATAATAAAACTGAGAGGAAGGCTGTGCTCAATGATATTTGTTACTTTCACATAAGCTTCTTCTTTTTTTAAAAGAAGTTTGAACTTAGGAGATCGACCAAGTTATTGCAGTATATGCTGTTGTTTGTAGATTACTCAATTAACTAACTGATAAACCGTAGTTGGATTTTTTTAGACACATGAAACTTTAGAAGTCACAGATTGCTGCTAATGGCAGATCTTGAAGATTCTTACCCGATGTTGCAGTGCGCTGCAGTCAGGACCCAGTACCTGTGAACTAGTGATCCACCACAAAAGTGTTGGCCGCTGGTGCTCTTCAGTGACACGAGGTATTTGATGGAATTTGGTGCAGCGGTGTGACCACCTACTATACGGCTCTGCATGAGCACACGGCCTGTATGGAAACATTAGCAAGCCAAGAAAGGAACATAAGTTGCGCGTGTTCTGTTTAACTTATCTTTGAAAATGAATAGGATATGAGGAAGTGGACTTTGTGAAGATTAGACACAAACGAGACACGGACTAACTCTCAGTATCATCACGCTGAGACATAAATTGCCAAGAGTTTTTCGTAAGTACTAAGATACGTTTCTCAAGACCTTTGATTCTTTCCCCAAAACATTAAAAATACACAAAAAAAAATTCAAATAACATTTACAACATTTTCTGACAGTGGCTTAATTATAAAAGGAAACTGTACAATTTGTAAATTTTGAAAGATAGCTACAAAAATGTCAAAACAAGATGCAAAAAAGAGAAATGGACTCCCAGCCACCATCTCCCTCTCCAGACTCTTTTTTTGTTAACAAGGTGATGCACTGAAACATCAGCGTACACACCCATCAGAGCCTCTGCGCGGCGGCAACAGAGGATCTGATGACATTAGGTCTTTCACTTGTTACTGCTTCCCTCATTCACAAAAGAAAAAGAACAAATAGATTATATGTTATATATATTTTAGATTGCATAAGACTTGTATAAGACTCATATTACATGTTCCTTCTTTTTTTTTTTTTCAATTTCATCCACAGTATACTCTGTCTCAGTTGCTCACAGTCCATCTAACATTACTGAACTGAATTTGCTCTCCCTCCTCTGCCTCCCAGATTGCTGCCATCCAATGTTGGTATCAACCTTCAGCACACCCGTGCACCCATGTACACTCTACCTTTTATCAGTCCCCCCCCCCCCCCCCCCCCCTCCCCCCCATCATTAGCAACAAACTATGCACCGTTTTGAGCTGAGTTGAGAGTTTTAAACGATTTCTGTGCTTTAGGTGTGTTTAACTTCTGCCTCCTGAGGAAAATAAAAGTGCTTGCAGAAAGGTTAAATGATAATTTACCATTTAGGGTTTTGCTAAAAGAGTGATTGATTCAATAAATTAGCTTAGGCACACATCTGGGAGAATGGGAGCTAATGTTTTAGTAATGTGGAAAAACTCTGATTGGATATAATATTTTAAATCAAAGAAAGCTTGAATCTTTTGTTAGCAAAACTATAAAAACAAAACATTAGATACTCACTGTGGACTGCCATAAGCTCCAACAGCACACAACATAAACACATAAGCAGGCTCGTCATAGCAGAAGAGGTTTTTGAGCTGTTGCACCATACCAGCTGCTGAACCACTGCAGTGTCCTCTGCTCCTGTCTGCAGCCTGGTCATTCATTCCTCACAGGAAACAGTGGGTGTCAGCCCCACCAACCTTTATCCTCGAGTTTCCTTGAGGAGTTTTTAATTTCATTGTTGATCGTGCAGCAGCGCGAACCAACACTGTAGCATTGATTGAGGAGGAAAAAGAGGCGAGAGAGCAACAAAGTTCACATTCAAAACGTATCTCCTATCACAACTCTTCCTTCTGACCCTCCTGACTTGTCGAAAGGCCTTACATTGTTACTATGGCAACACTGTGGTGAGCAGGTTCATCTATACTGTATCAGGGTGCTCTGTCTGTGTCATCATCCAGGCTTATCCCTGTTGAAATGTTTCAATAGTCTCTCTCTCTGTGAGTAAGAGTGTGTGTGTGTGTGTGTGTGTGTGTGTGTGTGTGTGTGTGTGTGTGTGTGTGTGTGTGTGTGTGTGTGTGTGTGTGTAGACTCGTAGCAAAGCCAAGACAACGCAGAGGTATTCTACGCACAAGTGTTTCTCTGTGTGAGTCATCATCCATCACTGAATCCGTGTCAGCAATGATAATAACATATTATCATCAGCCCGATGATGATCATCACCACCCTTCTGGCAAGTCAGCATCGTCCACAGCATGGAGGGAAGAATCTCGCCTGACCTCCTCTTGTCCCACATTTACAGTAAGCTGAATAATTGATGCTTCGCCTAGCAGAATAGGAGAGGGAGAGCTTTGTGTGGCCTCCAACTGTCAGGTGTTTCCTGGGCCAACACTAACCCGCCTTCATACAGTAATTTTCTTTCTCCCTTTCATAAATTGCTACAAAGCACATAATTCAAGTAAATGGTATGGAACTATTGTAATACAATGGTAATATAAATGCATTGTTAAGAGGTCAATTCAACTAATGAGATAAAACCACTGACTGTATACAAAAGATGGACAAAGCCACCCTCATACCACACAGTTACTTAGTTTTAAAGCCTTGAATAGCTTTATGGTTCTTCCCACCTCCATAATTTGGAGCCAGTGACTGTGCTTAATTGTCACGGACTTCCACATTAAAAGGTTCAGCTTCATAAATAAAAATTGTTTACAGCCTGTCTTTTATTTCCATAACTGATTGATTTTAAATTTAAACTTCATATCAACTAAAACCAAAAGACCAGTGTTACTTTTCTCTAAATATTCAACTCGCTTACACAGCGAAATCCATGGATCCATTAACTGTCAGAGTTAAGACTGAATTTCAAACAATTCAAATTCAGTGTTGTTGTTGTTGTTGTTTTACAACTGTACTATGCCCTCAAATCGTGTCATAGAAGTCAGATAAGATTATACATGCTTGAAAAAAAGGCTTCACATTGAGGTCTTATGTCTATCTGATTTAAAAATATGAAGTCTGATGGATTTCTGTGTGCTGATATCATCAAGGGTAAATATTTTTTTCACCATAAATCCACACTACATTGAATTTGGAATTACTAATCATCCTTATGTAAGACTCCTCTCTAGAAATTTTCATTGCATGTCTGCCAACATTTAAAAGATTTATGACACAAAAATCACACAGTTGACAGGACGGATTAGGAGAAAAAGAGAATCCTGTATTTAAGATAAAGGTAGGTGTTTTTATAAATATGAAGCCTTTCTCTCTTCAGCTTCTCAGTAGAGGATAACCTTATCTTCCCAAAAGATTAAAAAAAAAACTATCTATATATAACTATATGTAATACTGCAGTTGTAACGCTGTAATAGCAATGAAAAGAGAACGGAGCACTTTGCAGTTTTCCAAATGTAATTGTCATGGATCAAATGACACAAACTTCAGTAGGAACCCATCCTTTCAAACCACTCAATCATATCAAAACGAGCCATCACATCATTGCTTTGTTCATACAAGTATTGCACATGGTTAATCTGGTAGAAAAGTGTATTTATATACTCAGTGTAATATATACTGTACCTAGAGAATATAAGAGTGGTTAGTTCCATTACTTCTAAAAATATCATGTGAATTGCATGATTTTATGTAATTACTATGTAAGAACACTTTTTTCATATTGTACAATATAAACACTGCTACTACTACTAATAATAATAATAATGAACTATGACAATGGACTCATGTTTAAATAAATTAAAACAAATTTTCTCTAAACTGTTGAAACACTAATATATAAAACAAGTATCCAAGAATATAACAGCATTTGTACCAACAATGACATTAGAGAAATACTGAATTAGAGAGGAAGAAACTTACCACACTGAATTTAAAATCACCTCAGATGAAGGAAATGAAATCTTTCGATGTTTGTTATGTATAAACATTCAATTTTACACTTTTATCATTTATGGAAAATGTCACAAAAAGTGTCAAATGTACTGGGAGAAAATTTCCAGAACATTTTTTGCTTTTTCACGCATTTTTTTACAGTGCAATTTAAAGCATATGAATGAATCAAATAGTTTTAAAAACACATTTCTCATGTTTTAATAATTATTTTAAACAAATAATGATGCAAAAACATATGTCCTGGTTTTAATTTAAAGAGTTGACATTTAGCAAATCAGACACTGGGGGGAAAAAGGTTATAACAAAACATTTTCTACCAATTCCCTGATTTTTTCTATTAACGAAAAAGAAATACGCCCCAATATAAAACTGATCATTGCTTGAATTTTTTGTAAAACTGATAAACACAACCAGTGGGAATGAAATGTATGTCTAATTATATGACGAACGAGCTAATTTACTCTTTCATAACACCTGTACAAGCTTAAAGTTGACGTTAGCCGAGGCCCAACAAGGAGCTGTATTTGGTAGCTGTCTGCTAGGCTTCATTGAGTGAGCTGAACTGGACCTCTTTACTGTGTTTGTGACGTTGATGCTTTTTTAATTAAATCAACTGATAGGTAACGTGTGGTAACTTAACACTCTGTCCTCTCATTTAACTACAGACGTTGTATGGGACCGACTCACTTTGGGAAACAGCCTCAAGTTGCCATTAAAGAAGCTCACCTTTCTCAGTACTTGAGCTTACTGATCATCACTTGTGCCTGGCAGTGTAGGCGAATTAGGTATTATTTTCACAAATATCTTTTTGCCATGTAAATTTATGCAGATGCTCCTCTTTAAGCTATCCATACTGTGCATGTACTTTTGCCAAAGTCATCTGTCCTGCTCTGTCGCAAACACACACAAAGAAACCCTGTTTGTCGCATCGGCTTTGCACCTGAGGGAGAGCTGAGCATGCTATCGCCTTTCACCCTCACAGTTACAATGACACCTTGGGGAGTGAAGACTATATGGAGGTTATGGCCTGCAAACGAAATGCTCCAACGTGTGGGAACTCAGAATGGAAAAAACCCTTCTGGGAACCTAAATGAGAATGACACCTGGGAAGAGAAAACTCAGGGAGGAGAGGAGAGGAAGGATACAGTGTATACCTGCTCGAGCAGGCTAATCAACACAGGCAGGCTGTGGCACTGATTTCTCAGCTATGACAGTGAACATTTCTACAACACTAAAAAACATTACCCATAAGCTGTTACGATGTTTTCAAGACAACATTTGAATCAACTGTTCAAAGGATGTTTGAAGGATGATGATGAAAATGAAAAAGTTTGTTTTTAATTATAAAACATTTGCAAAATGTTAGCGCGCTGTGAAAAAGTAATTGCCCCCTTCTTAATTTCTTCTTTTTTCAGATATTTGTCACACTTACGTGTTTCAGCTCATCAAGCAACCATTAAATCACAAATTAACTGCA